TCCAGAACAAAAATTTACAGATAATGTACTCACCCCCTTGTCATCCAAGATGTTCATGTCTTTCTTTCTTCAGTTGTAAAGAAATTGTTTTTTGAGGAAAACATTTCAGGAATTTTCTCCATATAGTGGACTTCTATGGTGCCCCCGAGTTTGAACTTCCAAAATGCAGTTTAAATGTAGCTTCAAAAGGCTCTAAACGATCCCAGCCGAGGAAGAATGGTCTTATCTAGCGAAAGATCGGTTATTTTCTAAAAAAAAAAAAAATGTTATATACTTTTTAACCTCAAACGCTCATCTTGTCTAGCTCTGTGCTAACTCTGTGCATTCCGGTTCATGACAGTTAGGGTATGTCGAAAAACTCCCATCTCATTTTCTCCTCCAACTTCAAAATCGTCCAACATCACTGTTTACCTTTTTTTTTTATATATATATAAAGGGCGTTTGATCTTCTTTGCATGTTCACTTTGTAAACACCAGGTCGGTACTTCTGCAGCAATAGGGCCTTTCGCACCGCGGGAACCTTTCAGTAGTTCATTATCAGTAGGCGCAGTCCTTGTCCTCACTGGTTTTGACTGTATTTCAGTCCTCAGATGAAGGTCAGCGTGGCGAGTTCAAGGCCGTTGAGTCGAGTCTCATCTGCTCTGTGAAGTCTTAGATGTCTTTGCTTATTATTTCCAGTAGAAGCGGAGACACATCAGGCTGAATGTCCTGGATTTTCAGCAGTTGTTTTGTATACTCTTCATTCATACTCCTCATCTCGGTCAGGCACTCCATGATCTTTGGGTACAGCAGACTGGCAGGAGGAGAAGGTTCAAAGAAAAGTGCAATCAAAGATTTTTTTCCCCTATAGTGAGACAGAAATAAAGCTTTCTTACTGTTTATTTGGCTCGGACCGCTTGGCCTCAATGTAGGTCTTCAGGGTGAGTGCTACTATTTCCTGGTTGCAGTCGATCATGCTGTGATGTGTCACGCCGGGGCGATCTGGGGATGAAAACACACACACATACACATACACACACACACACACACACACATACACACGTGAGAGGTGAAACAGCTGGCTGTGTGTGTTCGATATGTATGTTGAACTTCATCTGAAGTACCTGGTGAGAAGAGCGAGATGGCCTGCATCAGCACATACTCCTCTTCATGTAAATGCAGCTTGCGCAGAGCGTAATGGAAATTCATCATAGGGTCCAGCAGATGGCGCTGGAAACCAGCTGGCCAGTGAGGGAGGAATGAAGGGAAAAATGTCAAAACATGGGAAAGGATAAAGCGTAAAAAAAAAAAGAAAGAAAGAGACAGACTGATGCAGGATGATTACTTCTAAATGCCTTCAGAGCATGTGCAGTACATGCTGCAAGGTGAACAAAAATTACCCTAGATTCAATTTTAAGAGGAGATTCATTTTCAATAATACAAATGAAATCAAATAAAATATAAATATTAGGAAAACCTGAAATTAGTAAACGTAGGTGAAACTAAAAACGTATAAATATTGCCTTGGCAACTAATTGAAAATTAGTTTCATTTATGCATTATTCATTTATTCGATTATTCGTTCACACTACACGATTTTCAAACTCGTCGGATCGGCGTTGTTTTCACACTGCGTGACTATCTGGGGTAGCATTCAGTTGCTGCTGTGTTCACATTGCACGATGGATCGGCGACAGGGGGTTTCACACTGCATGACTTCACAATAGGAAGAATCGCCGACAGCTCTGTCTGGTCCGCAAACTACGCTTCACAACAAAACACACGCGAGAAGTGATAAAGAAATAACGCAAGAAGACCGGAATTTTCGAGCGAGACTGGAATTATTTAAAAATATATATATAGCCCGTAAATTGTCTGTGAGCTGATTTCCAGCTACAAGGAGAAAAAGAAAAGCCGATTATGCAGGAGGGAGATGCAGGGAACAGGGATTGG